CCTCCACCCCCTCCACTCTCCCCTTCCCCCAAAGGGCTCATTACCGAAGTAATCGCCGTTGATATGCCCTCCTCCTCCTCCTCGTCCGCCTCTCAATGGCCGTCACCTCACCCTCGATGATGATGAGGGGCGCATCGCACCGCCGCGCTAGAGGGAGCATGAAAGAGGCGGGCAGGGCGGGGCCGGGCGGGGGGAGCCTGACAGAAAGGAGTGTAGTAGTAGCGGGTTCACGAGGAGGGTGGCGCTGGCGCTGGCACCGCTCAGCTCAGCCCACCCGTCCATCTGCTCACTTTCGAGCATGCTCGAGTTTGAATGTAATTGGCCGACGATGGCGCGGGAAAGGGCAGACGTTTTGTGTCGTGCTGTAGTTGTGTGCCTCGCGCCGAGGAAAAGGGCGAGTTATCCCCCCCTCCCCCCTCCCTCCTGTTTGCCAGTTTGTCGGCAGAATGATGGCCGAGGCGATGCGTGACTGTCCCGTCCGCGCCGTGTTTTGGGCCCCACGGGGGCTCTGCTTGGCGCGGCAGGGCTCGTACAAGCAGAGCCAGAGGAAGGCAAGCCGCCGACCCTCGCCGCCCCCGGGGGCGCGCACACACCACCGGGCCCCCCGCGCGGCCCCCGGGGGGCGGCACACGCAGGCAGCTCTCAGCGGCCCCTCAGCTCGGGCTGCGTCTGGGGCCGGGCAGGGCGGTGGGGCGCGGCGGGGGCGGCCGCTGTTGCGTGCAGAGCGGGGGCCCCGACATGCAGCCCGTGCCCCTGCCTGCTGGCGCGCTGCTGGCGCCTGGCGCCCCGCCCGGCGCGCCCCGCCCGCCCGCGTGCCGCACGCACATCTCCATGGAGACGCCGTGTTGTGTCGGCCATTGATCGCGACGGTGGGGTCGAGGGGCTTGAGCAGGGCGAGGGGCGCCCCACCCCGCCCCGCCTGGGCCCCGGCCCCGGCACGGGCACGGCTGTAAATGTTGGACGGGGAGGAACGAATCACGGCCGATGCCACGCTATATAGATTCTCTCGATTCTCTGCTAACAGCGCCTTCTCTTTCTGATTTCAGGAACTGCCTAGTCGGCGATAATTACGAGATCAAGATCTCGGACTTCGGCACCGACAACGAGCTGTACTCGGCCGACTACTACACGTTCGGCGAAAACGTGGCCCTGCCCGTGCGGTGGATGGCGTGGGAGTCGGTGTTCCTCGGCAAGTTCACGACCAAGAGCGACGTGTGGGCGTTCGCCGTCACGCTGTGGGAGATGCTGCACCTGTGCACCTGCGCGCCGTACCCGGACCTCGACAACGCGGGCGTCGTCGACAACCTGGCGCACCTGCGGCCGGGCGAGGACGCGCTGCGCTTCGAGCCGCTGCCGCCGCTGCCGCAGCTGCCCGCGGCGGCGCGCGACGTCTACGACCTCATGTGCGAGTGCTGGCGGCGCGCCGAGGCCGAGCGGCCCAGCTTCAGGGAGATCCACCTCTTCCTGCAGCGCAAGAACCTCGGCTACGCGCCCGTGCTCACGTGACAGCCGCCCCGCCTCGCCACGGTGCGCCACTCGCGCTCCTCGTCGTCGTGCTCGGCGCGCTTCCTCGTGTCGCGCTACCAGATCCACGACAAGTCGAGCTTCCTGTCGAGCCTGCGCGGCAAGGGCGGCGGCGGGCGTCCGCCCCCCGCGGACTGCTAGTAGCGGCAGCGGCCCCCGTGGCGGCGTGGCCTGGCCGGCCGAACCAAAGAACTGACAATCAGAAGGGTGGTGGGTGACCGGCCCGCGCGGCCACCGCGGCCACCACGCGCCGCGGACAGCTCGCCTGCCCCAGCGGTGCGTGGTGGCCCCGGTGATCGGCGGGCGTATCTACTTAATGTTTAAGTGTGGAAGGATGAGCTAGTGGTGTCGTGACTAAAACGCCTAGACTGAGGCTAGTGACAGCAGCAGCAGCTGTACCCTGTACCCACCGTGACTGTATCATATCCGTGAGCCAGCCAGGTATTATCTGAAAACTGCACGACTGATGACCTTTGCTGTGTCAAGTTGCAGCTTTTAAATACATGCGGCTCACAATAGCTTTGTATTTTAAAAATTGTTGATTTTTTTCATGTATAAATGTATATGTATAATAATGTAAGTAAAGTGATCTTTAGTCAGAGGTAAGAGCTGATTTCTTAAAGGCAGTTTAAGTTTGTCAAAACTGCGGACATAGTTAGTAGTTCTGTTGGCTATCCAAGTGTACATAATTGTTATCCCCTCTTTCTACTATTGGCCTTTTACCTGACTTGACTTTCAGACTGCTAACTGCTAGCTATCCTATCTTCTAGCACCTACAGATTTTTATTAAAGTTAATGTTTCCATTTTACCTCTGAAAACTTCAGAAAATTGTGCATTCTGTGCATTGGACAAATGAAAGATAAAAGCCTGCACTTTCGGTAACTTTGTTGGGACCATTTCATTAAACAGAAGTTGAGGCATTTTCTGATCATGATCAGACTGATTTCATTTTGAGATTTTTCTTTGTTTTTGTTTTAGATTCTGATGGTGCTACATGAGATAAAAATGTAGATACTTGGTCTTGTAAGCGCCCTCACCCTATATCCCGGCTAGTACGACAGAAACTTTAACTTCACGGCTCAAACGCCCTTTTTGTATGTATTGTACTGTAACATTCTTGTGTTTATTGGTCATTTAATTTGTTCAGAACTATTGTCTTTTTAATGAAGGAGCTCTTTAAAGTAGCTTGTGATATTTTTATAGTAAGTCTTATATTTATGTTTATTTATCACATGGTTTCCATGAGCCTATGAAAATGTTTGTACATTTATTCACCAAGGTTAAGTTAGTAAGCAAAAGCGTGAGCAGGGCATTTTGTCAATGAACATTGAGATATTCCTCATAAAATTTATTCAGTGTACAAGTTGTATAAGGCACCTAGCTCTTAACCTAGTCACTTAGTATAATGTGAAAAGACCTTACGCTGTGATTAAATTTATTCTTTTTTTTTAATGCAAAGGACACATGTAAATGAGAAACTTAATAGCATGAATGTCACAAAATAAAAGTTTTTTATGTGTAGGTGTTAACATTGTGTTCAACTAGTTAGATCAATAGGACCTTGTTGCTTCATTCATGTTCACAGACACATTTGCATTTCTGCACCAAGAACATAAAAGTAAATGATGGTAGGAAAACCCTCCCAATTCATGATTTTGAATAACACCTTTTGGCACTTTTGCATCTCCAATATTGTTTACTTGTGAAACTTCGTATCAAAGGAATTCGTATTATTTATACTAAGCTACAATCAAAGTGTTAAAACACAAAATACACAAGACCACTGCCTGTAAAAGACTTCAACTATTTATCTTTCAATTTGAATTGCTATCTAAAATGTATAACTGTCATGTGTCCTGTTACTTATGAATGGTGCAGAATTGGTGTCTGCTGCTGTCAAGTTAATAAATGACTGGTGAATGTTATAGTTCAGTGCAAAAACTACTTCTCTGAAATTAAAATGTTAATGCAGTTTTCCATACCCTGCTATTGGATTGCACAATCAAGCGCATATCATTGGGTATCATAGTTTGGGCCAAGTGTTCATCTCTTACACTCGCCCATGTGATGTGTCTATATAAAAATTTGTAGGAAGGCAATGCGATTGCATGTATTTAATAAGTCTTTGGAAAATAAAGAGCTCTAGACAACATAAAAGGACTTATCATTTGAAACACAAACATCTAAACCCGAATGCGCTAGCCACGGTCTCCTACTATCACAAAAGTATGCATCATGCCTCCATGGCTCATGCTCCCTTGTCCAGCCAGGATCGGTTTCAGGGCCCCGGCTGACAAGGGCGTGCGGTGCAGGGTGGGTTGCCAACTTACAGGGGATCTGAGACACAAATTGCCTACCTCTTAGGCGGCGACGGCGACGATGGGGGGATTCCCCCCCTTTCCCCTTTACGACGCGCGTGCTTATCCCAACCCAGACAAACAATCAAGAGTGCGGCTGTACTCCCAAGTCGTCGTTATGGTGACTTCGGAGACGGTATTCAAATCAGGGCCCGTCTTACTACGCTCAGCTGTTAGCACAGCTGGTCGGCGGTTCGAATACCACCACTGCCCTCTGCCGACGGTGTATCTCACCCATCAAAACGTTAGTTCCGGCTGGCTGCCGGACTAATGCGCCCCTGTGCCCGCGCAGCCTGTCCTACTATCGACGTGCGGCCCGGCTGCGTCGCTCATGGCGTTTCACATGGCATGTGGGATGTGAACAAATTGCTCCGGTAATGTTGACCGATCAATAGCAGTACGCACAGAGCGCCGGCCGAGGGACAAAACGAAACCAAACGGGAGCGGGGAATGGGGCAATATCATTGGCAGCCAGTCTGAAATGAAACAAATAAAAAAAAAAAAACACGAATTCCAACCAGAATAGTTGTGATAGCAACGGACAGCAACAGAGGTAGTCCCAGTGTTTTATTCTGGGCCAGTTCTCTTTTTCGCTGCCAGACAGTCGCTACGTTGAATAATTTATCAGTCACGGGCAGGGCATGGAAACTTAACATTTTTTGGAATTTTTAGTGTTTGTATTTGTAGAGTTTTAAAAAAAGTTATGAATAGGACAACTTAATTTTAAAAATCCATTTCAAATTTAAATTATCCTGTTCTTAATTTTTTGAACTCGAACCGTTTAAGAGATGTAAACACGATAAATTCCATACAATGATAAGTTTGCATGCCCTGACCCCCTGGGGAAATGTGTGGGTAGGCAACCCGCTGCGCCCGGGTAGGCAACCCCAGTGCGCCAACACGCGGCGGAACGCGGAACTAACGCGATCGCCTCGCAATTGGCAATCGCCGGAGCGGACCGCGCTGCTGCGGTGGGCACACGGGGGTGAAGGGGGGGGGACCGACCAATTCTCCAACTCCCAGAAGAGTAGGAAGAGAGGGGAGGGAGAAGGGGGAGGAAAGTAATGAGGAAGAGAGAAGAGAGGGGCAGGGGCGTATTGTGCGAGGTCCAGTTCCGCCCCTGCGGGCCCGGACCAGACGCACGCAGAGACGAATCGAATCGCGCGATTCGGACCGGATGTAATGCAGTTATGCCCCTCAGGTCTCAAATCGGAGCGCCCGGCCCGGCCTCGGCCGCGCGCGGCGGGGGAATTCAATTCGCCTCTGCATGATTGTGGCGGTCGTCGTCGGTGGCGCGGGCCGAGGCCGCGGCGGTGGTAGGCAGCGGCACGAACAACTTCCGATAGAAACTATGTAATACTCATTACCTCGACAAAGTGGACTTGTTACCAACTTTTAACAACCCATTATCGCTGTCTATCGGAGTAAGGAGCTGAACGTAAGGCGTCAGCAACTCTCGGCTCTCCTCCGCCTCTCCCGCCTTCTCTCTTTCTCTCCCCGTCCCTCCCCCTCATCCTGCTCTCCCTCTCCGCGTGCGAGTGTTCTCCGACACCAACAAAGTTTACCTGATAATTGTTGGACCCGATGCTTCAAGCGCTCTCCCCGCTCTCCGTTTCTCTCTCTCGCCGACCTCGCCACCACCGCGTTGGAGGCCCCCGAAGGCCCCCGAGCTGTTTACACCCCCCCGACGAGGAAATCGGATCTCACTCTTTTCTTTTTTTTCAGCTGGTCGCCGCGGTGCCGGCCGGGGATCAACGCACTCGCTGCGGTGCGCACCCCGAGCGACAGCCGGAGCCGACCAACTTTGGACCTGCGATGAGCCCGATCAGCACCTCCACTTTAGGGCCCCGGGGGCCGGGAGGGGGG